CAACGGAGTTAAGGATCCACGCGCAGTTTATTAAACAAAGAATGGTCAGACAGCAACGGTCAAAACGGGGGCAAACAGAAGCATACAGGTTATCCTAAATACGTAGTCAAAAACTATTTGTGTGTGTGTGTGTGTGTGTGTGTGTGTGTGTGTGTGTGTGTGTGTGTGTGTGTGTGTGTGTGTGTGTGTGTGTGTGTGTTATGGCTGGGCGATATGGGCAAAATATCATATCCTGGTATTTTTAGAAGGAATGACGGTATTCAATATATATCTGGTATTTTCCCATAAATGGTTTATTGGGGGTTAACGCCTTAATAAAACATTCTTAAACATTTATAATAAAATATAATATAAAATATCATTTAAACACAGCGGTTTCCCTCCCTGTTTACAAATAAACAGCTGCACAAAAAATACAAGCTGCACAAAATGTTTGATGAATATGCAGAAGAAATGATCGATAAAAGGTTTCTGATGAACTGCTGTGACAGCTACAGGCGCTGTGTGACGTGTGTGCACACGAAGGGGAGTCAGATTATTTTGGGGAGTCAGATTTAGATACAACACAGGAACTGCATGTTCCTCCATGTTGCGTCAGTGATGGGTCGTTCTTGAATGATTCATTCATTTTGAACAACTCTTTTGGAAGCTCAGGGAGTAAATCATTAATTTGAGCATACACACATTTGTGCAAATGAAGCTTAGGTGCTGCTACCTTGGAGGGGTCTGTTTCGCACAGAATGCACACAGGGGGCCTCAAACCATATCAATATGAACGATACTGCTTAACACTGCATCGCGTTGGGGAATCATATCAATATATCCCCAGAACCCGATTTACTGCCCAGCCCTAGTGTGTGTGTGTGTGTGTGTGTGTCCGACCAAATAGTTCACAGCTGTAGCAGGAGTTGATTGGCACAAAGCATCCTGGTAGTTGTGGTTCATGTGGTGGCATGTGTATAGTTCTCCAGCCATCTGCAAAGGCTTGATCGCTGGTGAATGTGACAATATTCTTGATAAATTAAGTCTTAAAAGTTATTACATCTATTTTATTAATGTTTGTATATCACAAAATCAGTATAGAAACATAATTATTACTTTTAAAAGAAGTTGATATAAAATGTACTGAACATTATGTTCTCTGGGTAAAATCATATATATTTTAATATGTATGTATGTATGTATTTATGTATGATTGTATGTATGTTGTGAACTTAAAAAAAATAAAAAATCCTTACCTCAGCAAAAAGTAATTTATTTCATTTCAATTTAAATACAAAGTAGATAATGTATATTTAAAGTAAATATATTTGCAATAATTACATTATAAATACACATTCATCTTTAGATCTCTCAATCCTGAAAAACACTGTGACCCAAAAATATTGGACAACCGTTTTCAACACTGATGATAATACATAAATAAAATATCATATATCTTAATAAATAATAAATATTTCTTGAGCCTCAAATTAGCATATTAGAAAGATTCATGAAGGATGATGTGACAATGAAGACTGTAGTAAGGATGCTGAATATTCACAAGGAATAAATTATATTTGATTCAAATTTTCATGCATTATAATATAAAACAGTTATTTTAAATTGTAATAATACTTTCACAATAGGGTGGCAATGTGGCTCAGTGGTTAGTACTGTTGCCTCACAACAAGAAGGTTGCTGGTTCAAGTCCTGGTTGGGTCAGTTGGCATTTCAGTGTGAAGTTTGCATGTTCTTTTCTTGTTTGCATGGGTTTACTCCAGGTGCTCTGCTCTAGTCCAAAAACATGCGCTATAGGTGAACTGGATAAACTAAATTGGCTGTAGTGTGTGTGAATGAGAGAGTGTATGGGTGTTTCACAGTACTGGGCTGTGGCTGGAAGGGCATCCGCTGCATAAAAAAATATGTTGGAATAGTTGGCGGTTCATTCTGCTGTGGAGACCCCTGATTAATAAGGGAGTAGGCTGAAGAAAAATGAATGAATAATACTTTAATAATTCACTGTATCCTTGATATTAAAAATGCAACCTGCAAGCGATCACATGATTCTTCTTACTCTCAAGCTTTGTGGTTAAAAATATTATATAAACAATAATTAATGCAATCAGAGCAACCACCTAATTAGTGTTTAAGTATAATGATAAACTACATGATTACATGTCTCTAAGATTTACAGAATATACAATAATCCATCATGAACTTGTATGTCATTCCATTACTTAAATAAAGCCCAATCCACCTCTGATAGAACTCCACACTCTACATGGTAATTGCATTAATCCTCTCAGGTCCAGCTTTGCCCACAGACAAAAACATCTGTATCCACAATCGCTGGAGTTGGGTTTCAACGCAATCCTAATTACATCGCTATGAGATTATTATGCGCCGACTGACCTTTTGTTCAGTCAATTATCAACAGGCATTTCCACAGTCGGGCAGGATTTACCCAGTAGAAATCAGGCTGTGCACCATCAAGGTAACCCAGAACATGCCAGCAGCTCTGCATATAAGCCTCCCAATGTATCAAGTGTAAATAGGATTATATGTGGCTTAACAATAATCTCCTGACAGAGGATTTATACGAAGGCAAAATACTCTCCAGGTGTGCGTTTGACATACAGAGCTAATGGTCCAATACAATTGAATGAGATGTACAGTGAACTTTATGCCCACTGGGATGCTGATGTACGATAATAACAGGAATTCCTATAATGTGAAATGATGTGTACATGTTTCTAACAGTCACATATTTTACCATTAATTACACACCGAAAAAACTAACAAAAATTAAAGATTAGAAAAAAACTGCTTCATAGCCATCAGGCCTTCTTCCAACTATCATCTAGCAAAGCATTACAATTATGCTAAAAAAAGTTGTCATACCATGCTAATAAAATGCTAATTCAAGCTAGCATTGAATTAAACATAATAGCAGTCTAACAATTTTTGTTAGCAATGTGCTCAGCTGTGTTAGCCTTGTGGCTAAACATCCTAGCAATGTGCTAAATCACACCAAAGATATTTACATTAGATGTTGCCTATGCTCTTGTTGTCTATTGAAAGAAATGCGTCAATAGAGCCGTCATTTTAGTACAGGGTAGCACTCCTTTGAAATGAATGTGAACGAGTGTGTATTTGTGTGCATGGAAATGTATTATCCTCCCTCCCTGTTAAATTTGATCTAATCCATGTCCTGAAACACACCCGCTCTCCTGCTTCTACTTTTGATACTAATGGAGGGAGCAATTCGTTTGTAAATGAATACCCATTATGAATGACTTGTGTGAACCATCGATATGCCTGCGTCTCAATTTGCACATCCACCTTTCTGATCTAAATAAACATTTGTAATAATCAATGATTTAGGGTGGACAGTATGCACATTGAGGCACAGGCACTGTAATGCACCCTTATGAGTTACTTAAAAAACGTTTTTGAACGATAATAGTGCAAGTTTCTGGCAGAACAGCATCTTTTTGTCATATTTAATTTACATTGTTTGCTGATTTTATTCAACAAAACTAGCATAAGTCTAGAATTTAGTGCCAGTTGGTGCTACTTTGCCTTATGGTTAGGTCAGTAAGTGACAGTATTATCATAATCAACAACTTTACTTTAGCACTAATACAAAATCAAAAATGAAATCTTGCCTATGAAATGTTCTGCCTTTATGTGTTTTTTTTTTTTTTTTTTTTTTTGCTTGTTACTACACCCATTCACAGTGCAGAAGTCCAGCATCCTCAGATTGGCTTTGGTCTTTACTAGTGCGGTTGAATAACATTTGTCCTGGGAGCACTGTATAAATTTAGCAATGGTATTGACGCATGCTCAGGGTCCGTATGTGATATCTAGTGCATATATCTATGAACTAGCAAAAATATACAAACAACATGTTATGTAAGGGATAAAGAACATCCAAGGAAGTTGTTATCATGACATAAATCCCGACAGTCTTTTTGGCAGCCCGACGTGAAGTAGATGAGCTTGTGTTACTCAGTGGTTAATATTTTGGAGGAAAATACACTGGAATGTTGTTTCTGACCAATCAGAATTAAGAATTCCCGACAGACACATAATAACTTATGCTAAAACCATGCTAGTAACATTTAAACCTGTCAGTAACATTTACATAATGTATACTAGCAACATGCTAAAATGGTCTAAAACATGCAATTACTTGTTAGCAACATCCTTTAACATGCTAGCAAGGTTCAAAATAAATCCATAACAATGTGCTAAAACATGCTAATAACCTGCTAAAACATGTTTGTTCTAAATCTATTTAATAACATACAAGCCACATGCTTTTTTTAAAATAAACTGAACCTTTTTAATTATTATTAACAGCTTTTAAATTTCAAAACAACACACTTGATTTAAAACCTTAGTATTTATATTAAGACAAATGCTGTGTAAATTATGTTAATTCTCCCATGCTGAATAAAACAATATATTCATATTATTATTTATAAATTATTATTTATAAATATGCATTTCTATTTATTAAAATAACAATATTAAAAATAATACAGACTAACTCTAAGCTTGGAAACATACCGTGTAGCCTGGCACCTAATTTTATCTTCAGGAATAGTTAATGCAGATTTGTCAGGGTTTAAAATAGATATTTGTTAATGGTTAAAAATTTGAAATAATAATAATAAATGGATTTTTTGCGAGATATTTCAATTCACTGTTTAACTGAAAATCTGCTTTTGAAGACATCTGGATTCCTAAGATGGTGTGCTACTTAGATCAAAATTCCATGTCCATTTATTCATTAATTTTGCTAAATATCCATATAGTAGGAGGAATATACAACAACTAACAACAATGCAAAACCCTTTAGGGTGAAAGGAGAGCCACATTTACACTGAATTGAATCAAAAATCAATGCATGATGAAATATGATCATAGAATGGGTTATAATACTTATTAACTATAAATAGAACTGTTAGTAGTCATTTAAAAAAAAAGTATTTAAAATAACAAGATCTTACTGGTGCGTGCAGGGCAGAAGGAGGCAGGCACACTGTCATTAGCATGACTGGAGTCCCAGGGTTCACAGCGATTTTCAATCCAGAGACAGCGAACTCCAGGACCGGCACTCTGACAAACATCCTCCCTGATGAAGGCCTCACAGCTGGCAGGCTTAAACACCAGCACATCGTTCTGGATCACACCAGAGAAACCACCAAAAATATACATGGATCTGAGGGAACAGAAAACAGACCTTTTTCATATTGTAACCAGTTTGTCTTGCCAACACAATTTTCCAAAGGAAATGAGAGGATAAGACCACACATTCAAGTAAATGTTTCTTTTGTGACACATCGTTATTTGGGTAAATTAACTTCAGTGGAAAAATGAAATAAACTGCAGTTAGAGTGCAGAGCCTGATGGTATCAGTGAATGGAAAGTGATCATGTTAAGATCTCACCCATTATTGACAACAGCTGTGTGTCCAAAACGGTTGATGTCCCGGTGAAGACTAGGATTTGGAAGAACTGTCCACTCATCACATGCTGCAAAACACACACACACACACACACACACACACACACACACACACACACACACACACACACACACACACACACACACACACACACAAAGAGAGAAAATACAACAAGAATTAAAAAATAGTATGAGGCTTTTTGATCTAATTGATCTACAGAGGACAATAAAATACTATGACAAAACTTTAAAACCTATATAATATAGTTAATATAGTTATTTTTAAATATATATATATAAACAGTTGTATTCAGTAATTGACTGTAACATTATAATATGTAACATTATAATCTTAACCACTTTTAAATGCTTTTACTTTATTTTTAAAGTTTTTTTTTTTTTTTTTTGTTTTTTTTTGTCATCTCCACACCAAGAATAGATTATTGTGTAAAAATACAAAAAATGCAAATGCTGCAAAATCTTGATGGTTATTATTATTTTAAAGAACAACTATTTTACCCCTTTTACAAGATGTACCATAAGCCTTTGGTGTCTCCAGAATGTGTCTGTACAGATTCAGCCCAAAATACCCAACATTTAATATTTATTATAGCCTCCAGAATATGCACATTTTGGTGGCTTTGAATGCAAATGAGCTGCTTCTCCCTGCCCACTGTTTCCACGTGCGTGTCTGCTTCTCATCATGCATTACATCAGATAAACAGCAGTCAGTGACAGAGACAGACTCGGATGAAGCTGAAATCGAGCTCATTAGTCAAAAATTCAAGCTATTCTGAAATGATGAGTCTCAAACAAATACCGTTTGCAGTACACACACACATATGAGTGTTTACTGACACCATGCGGCTACGGTGACTATAGCAGTTAAGAATTCTATAGCGATTTTTCTCTCTTTATTACAAACATGCACATTTAAAAAACTTTTTAAACTTATAAAACATTTTAATCTCAGTTTCTTTGCAACAAAATGTTCTGTGGACATGTGGATACATGTTATTATAGAAACATGATGCATGTCCATCAATTCGGTGTGCGGGAGAGAACCACACTCCTATGTCATGTTGCGGTGGGCCTAAAAATAGAAGGGATTTGGATCCTATTTTAATGTCAGGAAAATAAAAAAAAGAGACTTTATGTGTTTATATCACTCCAATATCACAGGGGGTGTCAAAAGTAATTGTTTTTTGGTGCACTGTGATGCAGACAATTTAGTATCGGTTCAGTAATAATCATAACCGGTTATTATGTAGTAATGTCATTTATTTATCTCATATGCGCTATGTCGGTGTAGATTACTATGCAAGGGAGGTGAGCACGAGTATTTACAACACTCCAACTAGGGCTGAACAATTTTGGCTAAAATGTGAATCACAATTTTTTTTTGCTTAAAATCACGATTCTTTTTCATGATTCTCTTAAATGTAAAATAAAGGTTAATATAAGTAGCCTATTATTATTATTAATACTCAAACATATCGTCACCTTGGAATTATAAGATTCTATCTGCATTCTGAATGATTTTGTGATATTGAGCTTCAAAGTTTTTGCATTCCATAGAGCAAACAATGTGTGTAATATTTTATTTATTTTTTAAAGTGTTAAAATGTAAACAATAAAATGTCAAAATGACAAAAATGTCAGATAGAACCTTATAATTCTAAAGTGATGATTTGTTAAAACAACAACACTACAATACTAGAGTAGCCGCCATTGGTCTGCTGCATGCACGTGCACGTTCTCGGTAGCTGGCTGTAATACATCATTACATGAAGACAGAAATGACATTTCTGGGTGAATTATACCTTATAAATACAGCATGTGACACTTTTAACGCCATTTGAAGGTGTTCATGTTCCTGTGAAGACTTGTGTAACCGCCTTTAAGCTTCTCTCCTGACCTTGAATATATAATTGGCTTAATCGTAGAAAAGCTGAATTAAGATCATGATCTTTTTTCGATTAATCGTAATCGGGAAGCCCTAGTTCCAACTACTTAAAAATGCAGAAACTGTGCTGTTTCACTGCATGTGTGTTTGCTGGACAGACTTACACTGACACAGCAGCAGCACCTATTTCTCTGCGATTGAAAGAATGAAAGTAAACTCCATTTCTCTCCCTCTCTCTTTCTCTCTCTCACTGTGGCCCTTTTGACCTTCTGGCGTGACTTTTCCTCTCCTCTCGGCTGTTACAGCGATACTTCTGGATAGAGGTCTGCAGGAGCAGCAAGACCCGACCAGATTTCTTGCGGTGCAGGAATAAATTTCCAATTAAAGTGCGGGAGCAGTCGGTAGCTCTGATGTAATTTGAATGGCAGCGGGCAATGTAACAATATCGCTCCCGAGCGAGCAAGCACGCGTGTGTGTGTGTGCATGCTTACGTTTATGTGTGTGAATGAGAGAGAGCATGACGCTGTGTGTCGCTTTCGCTTGCTTGGTGCTGTGTGTCTATGTGTGTTTAACCAGACAGCTTGTTACATGCTCTCTAGTATCTGACATGCCCTGCCCGCTTCAAGACACTTTCCATTTGCTTTTCATTTGATGCACTTGGCTGTTTTTAAAAAGAGGGAAGAGCTAGACATATATGCCCCATTCTCTCTTCGTTTTCGGTTGAGATTATGTCAAGTATCTTAAAAAAAATGCATATTTTAAAGCACTTCACATGACCTTTGCTGTGAATGAGTTGCTTTTTACTTATCTCAACTGAGACATCTAATATCAGTGCAGAGATATTTTACACAGAAATGCCACAGCAGTAGTGTAAACCACACTCTATGCAAACCAAACCGTTTTTTACTGACAGAGACATCTGTGTTTTTTGAGCTGTATGTGTTTGTCCAGGTTACATGAGCTCCGTGGCATATGTTTCTCCCAGGCTGCCAGATCGGACACACTCTCTGCTCGTTACACGCTCTTTAATTCACTAATTAGCTGCACTCATGGTCAGTTAATCAGATGGGAGAAAAAAACAAAGGCTCTCTTTACATTTGACAAGCTTTCCTGATAGTAAATGCATTTAATGTGCTTATATACTATATAATGGGTCGAAAAAACACACAATATGTAAACTCTGTTAACAACCCCTCCTGCAGAGATGTTTTATAGCATGAGATCCTTATATAAGCGAACAACAATTTACAGATCACAGGAAAGCGAGAGAAACAGACAGAGAAACAACTGTCGCATCCAACATCTCACAGCCTCCCTCCAGCAGCACTGATGACAGCAGCAGAGATTAACAACACGCATTACATGTGCTCAAGAACAGCACTGCATCACAGAGATATCAGCAATAAAACAACACAGTGTCTGGTGAGAGTGAACATAGAGACAAATAAACCCCTGAATACTTTCATAAGGGGCTTGTTTTCTGAGTAATCTCTTCTCTACATATGCCAAAATGTCAATACAATGTCAGAAGAATGTTGAAATCTAGTGATGGACAGATGTAAAATTAGGCTGAAAATCTGGCTGATTTTAAAACAATGTTAGCTCAGTTGACGTCATGGCTCCATTGTTAGACAGATGTTTAAGAAAAATCGGGCTGACGTCAAAACCAGATGTTTGCTTCATGACTAAACCAACTTCAACATTGGACAGAGCCGACGTCAAAACCAGATGCTAGATTGATGTCAACCTCTAATGATGAACAGATGTCATAATTAGTTTGAAAGTAAAAATCGGATTGGCGTCTAAATTAGCTGAATGGACAGTCATATCACGATAACCATTTTTAAGGTATACTGTGGTTTGAAAAAGAAAAAGGCTTTATAACCGCCAAAACTTTCTGCCATACTGTTCCTACGTTATATGTAAGTTTTTTTTTTTACGTTTTGTTTTTATTTTTCCAGGACAACAGTATTTTTAGCAGAAACGATATCCTAGAAAAGAACAGTTGTGTTTTGAAACCTAATGAAGATAGCAAAATCAATGATTCAGTTGAATTATTTAGCCTGACATGTTTACTGCTTTAAAATATTTTAAAAGTTTTTCAAAACAAAATATTTTGTGTTTAAAGGGAAAAAAAAGATTTTTGTTTTTTACCCAGATATTTTAAAATGATATATTTTAGAGCAGTAACCACAATACAGTAAAACCATTATGTTCTTATCCAAGGTTATCATACCATCAGAATCTTATACCAGACCATGCCTACCATTTCTGGTTAAATAAACCAGACAACCTTGGACAAAGCTAAAATTTTGATAGAAAACTAAAGTCAGATTGATGTCAAAACCACACGTTAGCTTAAAGATATGAGCTTCTACATTGGACAGACCCAAAATTGTAGTTTTACACCAAGATCAAAAAGACGCTGTGTTTGGGTTGGAAATGAAAGTCAAGTTTACATCAAAACACTGGCTTGACATTAGTCTCCAACATCAGACAGTCTTTGCATTTTAGCTGGGATTTAAAATCGAGATGACATCAAAACTCAGCATTGGCTTGAAGTCAACCTCCAACATCAGGCAGTAGCACTGGTTCCAAATAAACATGGGCTTAAAGTCAAAGCTCCATGTTGTGTTTACATCACAGCCCAACAGACAGACCTTACATTCTGGTTGGACCTAAATATGTCAAAACCCTACATTAGCACTTAAAGATGCATAAATATAGTGTTATAGGTCACACTTTACAATAAGGTTCATTGGTTATAGCATTTACTAACATGAACTACGTATGAACAATACTTGTACAGCATTAATCATAATTATTAATCAAAATTCATTTACTAATGCATTATTAACTTCCAAATAATGCTTGTTATCAATAGATAATGCACCGTGAACTAACAATGAACAACTATTTTCATTAACTAGCGTTGAATAACATGAACAAATACTGTAGTAAACGTATTGTCCATTGTTTATGTTAGCAAACGTATTAACTTACATATACTAATTAAACCTTATTGTAAAGTGTTACCGTCTTATAGTAGATCTGTATGTGCAACAATGTTCTTATTATATTCATTATGTAAGGGCTAAAGTACATCCAGGCAAATGTTATCGCAAAATAAAGCCTGGCAGGCTTACCGTCAGTTGTATTAGC